CATTAACAGATACACAGAAGAATTATGCTCAAATTTAAAAGGAAACTTTAGCTATTGTATTTGCGTGTGAGAAATTTCACCAGTATATATTTGGAAAAAATATTACTGTGGAAAGTGATCCATAAACCACTGGAATCAATTTTTCAAAAAGCCATTAAATAAATGCCCTGTAAGACTACAAAGAATGCGTTTATTTAAAGATTACAGCAAAGATTACAGAGCCCTATCAGTTTGAGATAAAATATAAACCAGGAAAAAGAACTTTTTATAGCGGATGCATTATCAAGATCATTCACTGATAAAGGATCTGATTTCTTTTGAAGGAGAAATAGAAGCTCATGTTGGATTGGTTGTAGAATGTATACCAATGTCTAATACCAATGTGTAAAATGGCAAAAATGGAAGTTTTTCAACTGGAAACAGAAAAAAGATGAAGAACTACAAGTTTTAAGAAAATTAATTAAAACTGGATGGCCAGAGATGAAAAATGTATGGTTCCAGAACTGCAAAACCATATTTTAACTTCAGGAAGAACTATCAGAAGCAAATGGATTAATATTTAAAAATTCCTGTGTTGTTGTACCAAGAAGTTTTACGAAAAGATATGTTAAGCAGAATTCATTATGGTCATTTAGGAGTAGTAAAATGCAAGATCAAAGCAAGAGAAATATTATATTGGCCAGGAATGTCCAAAGAAATTGAAGATTTGGTACTGAATTGTCAAACATGTTTAAGTTTACAAAAAGCTAATACTAAAGAACCAATGATATCTAAAAAATACCTAATGGTCCATGGGAAGTATTGGGAACAGACCTATTTTACTTTCAAGGAAGGGATTATTCTAATAGTAATAGATATTTTAGCAAATATGTTTGAAATTGGACATTTGGAAGATTTGTCAAGTGTAGCAGTGATAAAGCAATTGAAATCAATTTTTGCAAGACATGGTATTCCGAAAATAGTATATTCGGGATAATGGTCCACAATATAATTGCAGGAAATATAAAGATTTTGCAAGAAGATGGAATTTTGAAACCAGAACTTCAAGTCCAAAATACCCGCAGTCTAATGGAATGGTTGAAAGACATATTCAAACTGTCAAGCGAATGTTAGAAAAAGCTGTAGTTGACAACAAAGATCCATATTTAGTTTTACTGGAATATCATAACTCTCCTATTTCAGATGAAATTAAGTCACCTTCAGAATTGATGTTTGGAAGAAAAGTAAATGGATTGATGCCTATAAAAGAGAATTTTGTCCAGCTAAACGATATGAAGACCATAAACAACATTTACTGAAGAGACAAACCTTACAAAAAAATTATTATGATAGGAATGCAGACCATTAAAACCACTGAAAACAGGAGATCATGTTTACATAAAAGAGAAAGGGAAAAAACTAAATGAAAGAGGGAAAATTATAGAAGAAGCAGAAAGACCACGTTCATATAGGATTATAAGAACAGATGGAAAGAATTGTAGAAAGGAACAGAAGAGACCTTCTTAAGGAACTAATCAGGAAGAGTTTGCAATACAAACAACTATGAGAATGAAGTTATAGATGAACCCGAGATACATGAAAATAGTAGGAGCACTACAATTTAGATGTGCCTGTAAGTCCTTCAAAAATCTAAGAATGTTTGTGTCACCAAAAAGCAAAAGAGGTATAGTATCATCAAATTTTTCAAATGGACATAACTACGTCACTCAATCTGGTAGGACTGTTAAGAAACCTTATTATTTAAAAGAATATGTTTAATTTTACTACTATTATTATTTTTTATAAAAAAGGAAGATGTTATATATGTAACTGTAACTGTATCTATTATTATTTTAATCCTAACTGTAATATAGAATAGTAGATGAACAATGTAGAATAAAAGATGTTTGTGTACATCTTGTAATCATCACTGAGCACGTAACCAACACATATAAAATACAACACAGTTACGCTCGACTATACGGAATATTCGGCAATTTCCGAGTATGCGGGTTAGTTAAGCTTTTACTGTTAAAGGATGACTGCATGAAGCAATTTCCCGTCTCCTGATTTCAGAAATGTTCCTCTTTTTTACTTAAATTACTTTGATTGGAATGTATGTTAAGGGAAAACTGTTATGCAATGAAAATTTAGAAAATGTTCAGAATTTTGATTTAAGTTAAATTCTTTAAATATTAATATAAGAGGAAAAATAAATTTTTATTATTAGAAAAATAATTAATTAAGGTAATTTTTTTATTATTTTTTTATTTAATTTTTGAATTTCTGAAATTTCAACTGAAATTAAATCATTCTTTGTAATATAGTTTAGTTTTGCATTTTTTTTTTTTCTCTCATTGTAAACGAATTCTGTAAATTGAACTGTCATTTAAAATTAAAAAAAAAAAAAAAGTTAATTGTTTTCCATGGTTGAGGTAATGCTTATTCTTTTAATAAATATTGCATTGCTCATATTTTGAATTGCAAGTCTAATTTTTCTTTTAATGTTATTTTTTTATGCTTATTATTATTAGGCGCTTATTTTTTTTTTCTTAAAATGTGCTTGAAAAGTGCTTATAGGTGCTTATTTTTTTAACTAAAATGTGGCTATGAACCATGGAAGCTCTCTTACTGTGCCTGTGCATTTTGTAACAATATATTTCAAGCGTGTGTGGATAATCAGACTGAACTGAGTTTTGTAAATAGAATTATTTTATTTCTTGTTCCCCTTAAACTAGGTGATAAATTATTTGTTACTTATCCTGGTGACCACAGAAGTTTGCAGAGATGTGTTAGTCATTCATGCAGAATTCTGAGCTGCACTTCTTTCTATAACATTTTCAATAAAACATTCTTTAGTTTCTCTGCACAATTCACCAAACTGCCACTGCTGTGAAAGTATTCAAATAGCTTTGTTTTTGCACTTCAAAACAGGCTTTCATCAGCTTCTGCTATGTTGTTAGGCTTATCAGTTTTACTGGAAACCCTCTTTAGAATGTTATGAGTACGAACTCCCTGAAGATAATCTGTTACTATTTGTCAGCCTTTCTTTTCCCCATTCATCAGATGTTAATTCTCTCAACCAGCTGCAAATGAATTGGAGTGCATTCACAAATGTAATTGATTATATGTGGCTTTATAAAGAATTAGTCGAAGATGCATCAGATGGAAGCACAGATGTTATGAGTGCATTATGATGTCAAGTTTACCCATAATTGGTGCTTAACTGTGTTGTCTGCTAGCTGTTTCAAACTGCATGGTATAATGCATAGATACCAAAAAGTTTTAAATAAAAGCTTATTTTGTGAAAACATTTTTTTAAAACTTATACTTTCCGCATGATTTGGCTTAAAATATTGTTTTTTTTTTTTTTTTTTTTCCTACAGCTTATTGTCAAAAATGTCTTAAAAGCTTGCCGAAAAATTTTGTAATAAAATTTTAAAAATTAAATTAATAAATATTAACAGGTTTAATTAGCTAATATTGATCCATTATGTTTATTTAATTTTTGATGTTTTGATTAGGTTAACATAATATTGATTAGCAAAGATTACATTAATTACTGAGAAAAATATCAAAAATAAATTTATTTATGGTTTATTATTATAGTTAAAAAAGACAAAGTGAATTATTTTAATTAACATTTCTTTATTGATAAATTCTCTGTCCTCCTTATCCTTCCCCAACAGCATTTTAAAACCTAGTTTTACAAGTTCATGTATTTCTTTCCTCTTCTCCTTTTGCATATTTAATTGATTTTTTGAGTCTAGCCACATTCTTACCACAATGAAAGTTTGTGTTTTTGTAAATTAGATTTAAAGATTCAACAGTTAGAAATTTTCATATAGATACTTTGATGGATAACAATATTATTTATAAGAAAATCATTGTTATTTAGCTACTTTTTGGCATTCTAGATTCTTTTTTGTGTTGTTGCCTGGTGTAGGTAGTCTACTCAGCAAATCAAATGGAGTTAAAAAATAAACTATTATTTATACAAACTTTTTTTTTTACTTGTATGTAAAAAAAAATTTGTTCCTGTTAAAAAAACTTCAACTGTAAATGTTTAATTATTTCTAAAAAAACAAACTATACTCTTTTATATTTAAGAATGTTCCTGCTACTTTTATATTGAATAAATTATTTGTTAGTCATTAATGAATAAAATATTTGGTTTCAAAATGTCTGGTTTTTAATAGCTTCCTCAGCAATGATTAGTAATATGTTCAAAATAGCTTAATAAATGGTATATCTTTTTCTGTGAAGTATACTGAAATATTTTTAATTATTTAATTTTAATAACTTTAGATAAGGTATATAGTTATTTTAATGTATTGTTAGATTAATTTAATGTTTATTAATTCAATTAATGTGGTGCACTATCATTTTTAATCACTTATTTTTTATAAGCAAGATCTTGTGTAGTGTGGTTTGCATTATGCATATATTTTTTAATGTAATTTGTTTACAAAGCTAAAACTAATAAAGTTGAATTTAAAAATTAAATAAATTTATATTTTTATATTTTGCACAGTATTCATTTCGAACTTATTATGTGTGCAAAAAAAAAAAAAAAAAAAAAAAACTGTTATAAATTTATAAAAATATTCTCCCATCCCAAATGGTGGGCTCTTCCATATTCAGCATGGGTCACACCTAAGACTGCCATTTTATTGAGGCACATAATAGGTGGCCACCATAGCCTCCTATGAAGGAATAGACAATTACAGTCATGTCTTCTCCAGGATTCAAACCAGGCCCTTTGATACCACAGTAGGATCCCCTACCCACTGTACTGTTTATTCTTTGTGTCATTGCATAATGATTTTTATTTACTTTATATTAATGTATTATTTGGTTTTGTATATTTCTTGTAAATTTATTACCATTTCTTGTGTATTACTTTTAATTTTTTTATACTTATGATTAAATAATGGAGAAAAATTTAGAATATTATTTTTTCCCTTTATAATTTATATGACTTCTAGTATTTTGTAGTGAAGTGTTATGGTTTATTTTAGGTTGGTTATGCACTTGGAATTCAAGAAGGTGTTTTGCCAAAAATTAGAGGTTCTATGCTGATGCTTTATGCTACTTCTACTGCAGTCCTATTTTATGCTGTGAGTTATTTTTGCATACTTTTGTCATGACTATTTAAATTAGGTATGAGTAATAAATAAGCTTGTTTGGAAGTAAAACAACAAAAATCAGCATTATATTTGCAAATTTTCACAGGACTAGTTTCGATGGTTTTACCGAACCACCACCTCAGCTGCCAAAGTAAAATGAACGAGATAAAATATTGTGAAAAAATAAGATAAGAATGGCTGGACAGGAGTTAAGCTACTACCGCCATCTATTGATGAAGCAGCAAAACTAAAACATAATTTCCTTAAAGTCTAAAAGTAAAGGTGGATTGGAATTAGGATCATTAAGTAGATTTTCTTGGATGTGAAATGCCTACAAAAAATCTAATTCACCAATGGAAGGTGTTTTTTTGAATAATTTTCATGGCAGAAAAATGGAGAGGGTGATTTTGGGATCACCAATGCTGGGTAACAGAGGATTTCTGTGTTTCCTTTTTCCTAACATATACCTCATATTCATTAATACAAAATTTTAAGACTGTCTTATTTTGTAAATTAAGCCACACAGGCAAGGAATCCTGTAAATATCTCCAGAATTCATATCTGGAATGAGGTCCTAAGTATGGAACTTGTAATTTTACTGATAGGAAAAGAAATGACCCAAAAGTTAAATTTCTGTAAAATACGTGCAGTTTTATAGCTAATTGATGGAAAGAAAGGAATGTCAACAGAACTCTTATAATCTCCTAAAACAAGAGTGTGCCTTTTGGTGTGTTTAAATGAGAATTTTTTTAACTGCTTGGTTAATAATGTTGAGTGAAAAGCCCCTGTCAATAGCTACTGCTTTTAAATAATTTAGTTCTTGATCAACAGCCTGGAGCAGCAAACTTGAAGTGCATGGAAAAAAAATAATAAAATGAAGTTAACTTTTGTTTAGTCAGATGACATTTCTTGCCAGTGTGTTGTAATTTACATTGGTCAAACTAAGAGAGCCTTAAAATTTGCGTTTAAGAACATGAGACGGTTAATCTTCAGTATATGGTAACTTGGCGAAAATTTGGCGACCAACCCTGCTACAGCAACCTTGTAGTGGTTTTTTTTTTTTTTTTTTTTTTTTTTTTTTTTTTTTTTTGACGCCATTTTGTTTTCACTAAGTAAAGGCATTTTTTCTCCCTCCCCCCTCAACATTTTTCTCCAACAATCTGCTAGCCGAATTACACTTATGCTAGAACTTTTGTGGAACAAAAGTGCTTAATCATGACGAAGATTAGGTGCGGAATTGGGAGAAAGTGCAGAATCGCCCACTGCTTGCCGCATTTTAAAAAATTGCACATACACAGTATCCATGTACACGTCGACCTATTTTCACTTAAAAAAACATCCCAGAATTGCACGAAAATGGCATTGTGCACACTCTTAACTTTATCCATGTACACTGCTAAAGTCCTAGCTAGTAACCTTTATCGCCTTACCAAAATGTCGCCAAACTACCTGTTACCATATTCCAAAGATTAGCCCTTGAGACTGTTACGAAAAAGAAAACACAGCAGTCTTCTGTTGCTTGTTGGTCCGAAAATCACACTTTACATTTTTCTGCAGCTAAAATTATTGAAAAAACTTCTTCCATTCATGAATAAAAATTTTTAGATGTATTTTACATTAAAAAAAGTCTTTCTGTTTTAGTTAAAGACCCTAATTCCAATCTATCTTTACATTCAGCCTTTTAGGAAATTATGTTTTAGTTTTCTTGTTTCATCAATAGATGGCACCAGTGGCTTGACTCCTGTCCAGCCATTCTTATCTCACCTTATCTTTTCACTATATCTTATGCCCATTATTCATTTGCCCTTTGGCAGCTGAGGATGGTGGTCGAAACTAGTCCTGTGAAAATTTGAAAATAAAATGCTGATTTTTATTGTTTGACTTCTAAATTAATATTTGTTCAGCATGTTATTTTAACCTAAATAAATTTGTGTTATTCAAAGGAATTTTTTTTTGACCAAAGAATATCATGGAAGAAAAATACCAAGTTGACCCTTAAGCAATGTGGGTTTAGCAACCCCTTCATTCTAGAAAATCTGCATGCATTTTTTTTTAGCCCAAAAGAGGCTATTAGTCTCAGAATGAGATTTTGTGTTGGTTTACTATAAATGACATAGTACTTTTCAAAGTATTGCCACAAATATTATTGCCCTGTATTATTTTTAAAGAAATTAAGTAATGAAGAATCTGCATGTATATAGGTATGTTCTTGGCATTGTTAAAAAACAACAATAGCTAGAGTTATCAAATTTTGACTAACATAATCCTCCACTGAGCATGTGCACCTGGAAGCCTGAGTTTTCAATTTGTTTTATTATTTATTTAATATTTTGTAAAACTTTAATGAATTTTTGATTAACAAACTCCACAATTTGAAAACGATCTGTGGCAACATTGTTTGAAATAAAACATCTTTGTCTGCAGTGTACGAAACTGTTGCCGTCTGGAAAAAGTAAGATATTTATATTTCAATTTTAATTCACAAACTTGACTCTATGAAAGCAGTGTATTGCCGTAACAACACTTTGAAACATCTTTATCTACAGTGTGTGAGACTGTTGCCATTTGGAAAAATGTAAGATATTTAGCTTTCAGTTTTAATTGACAAACTTGACTCTATGAAAGCAGTTTATTGCCGTAAGAAATAATACATTTATCTTCCACATGCTAGCGTATTGCAGTTCAGTAAAGCCTAGGATACTTTCAAATTTTATCTGAAAGGTTACTCAGTAATAACTAAGTGATTTGAAAGCAACAAACACAGGTCTTAAGAATATTTTTTCCTTCTTAACGTAATTTATTTAAATAAGTACAGTGGAACCTCGAGATACGAGTTTAATTCATTCCAGCATTCAACTCATGTAGCAAATTTCTCGTATCTAGAAACAAGCTCTCCATTGAAAATAATGGAAATCCGGTTAATTCATTCCGCACTCCCAAAAATATCAACATAAAAGTCAATTTTTCCTAATAAACACTGGTAAATAATATTACCATAGTTTAACTTTCTGTCACCGACCTTTTAACTGCTTCTCGTTAATCCACACCATCAACAGCATCTCAACATCTTCTAGGAATTTGTGATGGTGCTTGGAAGCAACGGTAACTCCTTTGGCTATATCAAGTTTCTTAATTTCTTCCTGCTTCTTCAGAATAGTGTAGATTATCGATGTCGAAAGGCTTCGCCAATTCCGTCACTCTTACACCATGCTTATGTTTATCTATGATTTCTTTCTTAATATCAACAGCCATGGCCTCCTTATTTTTATTTGCAGCACTATCTGCGGCAACAATCTTTTTGGGAGGCATCGTGACATAATTATTTTCACATTAAATGTAAAAAACAATTAACTTACAAGTGCACAAACACGTATATAAAAGAGCACTGAGTGATCTGACGATGGGATTCCTCGAGTTGCTGGATAGGAAAATGGCCCCACCCATACCAACAGCCTGGCTCATTGCTCATTACTCGAGTCAATGCTCGTATTTAGAGACGAATTTTTCCCTCATACTTTCCTCGTATCTCGAATTTCTCGTATATAGAGGTGCTCGGTTTCATTGTATATTAAAACCTTAAGATGTCTTCTTGGAAATATTCAGTATTTTTATGCAACACTAGCTGAACTCATTTAAATCATTATATACTTTTTCTTTGTTATGATAACTATTTTAGATGGCTACCCATACAAGCAAATAGTTTTTAAATAAATAATATAGGGAATATAAAACTGTGTATTGTAACCTCTATTGGGAATTCTAAAGATATGCAGTTTAAATATTTTGTGATTCTGCTCTTTAATTGAATTTTATGTGGTGTAAGTGAGAAGGACACAATGTTTAATAAATAAGCATGTAAAAAGTTAATAATAAAAAGACAAATTTCTTTGTTAGCCATCTTGCTGAAAAAAACTGAATATTGATATGATGTATTGAGAGAAGGCTGAAAAAAGCATATAAATATATGCCAATATTTAAAACTGTATTAGGAATTCTAAACATCTACTACTATGCAGCTTTTAAAAATTTTCAGATTTTTTGTTGAACTTCATGGCTTAAATGTGATAAAAATAATGCTTAATAATAAAGCTAAAAAGACAAGAAAATGGTGCAGCTAGAGTGAGTGCAGAAACAAACTGGTAGACTGCGAGCTGAGCGAAAGCATAGAAACTTTAACAAACCCTTTTGGGCAACTATTAGAATCTAAAATCTTTCAGATTTTTTTTTTTTTTTTAAATTTATGTTGCTTTTTTTCTCTTTCACTATATTTTTTTCCTTTTTAATAATATTTTTTGCTTTGAACTTCTGAAAATTTTAAGAAAAATCATGAAGAGAAAATGCATTTAAAATATTATACAGTCAAAAGTCGTTAATTCAGACACCCATAATGCGGAATGATCTATAATCCGGACCTCAACGCATGCGCATAGGCCTTTACGGCTGCGAATATGCGCATGCGCATAATACGTTTACGCATGCGCGTTTAATGTATAATGGACGGTATAAGCTAAGCTAGAATTATCTAATTCAGTTAATGTTGCAGATTGCGTTGTTCCTTAATCTTCAAATTGGATCCGGCTTATTATTTTTTGCAGACTGTTAGAGCAATTTTATAAAGTCTTTACGGCTGCGAATATGCGCATGCGCATAATACATTTACGCATGCGCGTTTAATGTATAATGGACGGTATAAGCTAAGCTAGAATTATCTAATTCAGTTAATGTTGCAGATTGCGTTGTTCCTTAATCTTCAAATTGGATCCGGCTTATTATTTTTTGCAGACTGTTAGAGCAATTTTATAAAAGTAAGCTTGAAGTTTCGATTATGTCAAATCAAATAGAATTTCCGATATATATTTATTAATATGTAAAGGATCTTCAAAGCTAAAGTATGTTAAGACACATACTTTAGCTTTGAAGTTTTTGTTGTTTGACTTCTGAATTACTAAAGTATGTGTCGAAGTCCATTAAACAGAAAGGGGAATTGCTGCAAAAAATTGATAAAGGCATATCCTTTGATTATCTAATCATTCCGAAATATGTTCATCAATTTCACGCTGCTCTGTGGGGGGAGGGAAACGACGCTGCGCGCAATGAATTGGAAGTTGATCTGTCAGCACTATAAGACATAGACTAGAAGAGAAACACGCTAATGTGGCAATCAAAATCATAAAAACAACCTTGTATTTAGCGTAATTATATTGAAACACTCAACTCATTGAGTGTTTCAATATAATTATGCTAAATACAAGGTTGTTTTTATGATTTTGATTATCTATAAGACATTTCCGTTGGTTACTCTAATTTAAGTATACTGACAGCTAAATATTATATTCTTAGACTGACGTTTCTTTCAAATAATTCTGATATGTTTAATTCATCATTAAATAACTTACCTTAATTTAAACTAAAAGTGAACCAATTATGAAAACTTGCAGAGAGTTCAGAAGAGTTTCAGAAGCTTTCAGAGAAAATTTACCAAATGAAAAAAACCTGAGGATAAATAATAACCTATTGTCTTATTTATTGAAATTTTCTTTAAAGCATCAATAAAAATACATATATTTATATTTAGATAATTATGGACTTATTTATTTCTTACTATAACTCGACATTTGGTAGTTTTTTTATTCCAATAAAGTTTGTACTTTCAGAGAGAAATTTCTAGGAATCATCTTCATCACCAATTTTATATGCTCATCGGTCAATCATGTTCATTTCTTATTAATTTTCAACTATGAAAAAAAAGCTCTTTAACTCCATTTATAGATTTGCTGCTGCATTATTCATATCATTTTTCAATGCAAATGAAAATCATGTAAAATTAGCCATAAAATAAATATCTTGAAATTTTTGCAGCACTATAACTGACATGTTTTCACGACCTAGATATAAAATTGCTTCAGGGGCAACCAGTTTGACACCTCTGATCTGCTGAATGTTAGAGACTTGCACACTATTTGTATTATGTGATTTAAACTTATAGTAAGCTAAAATAATGCTCTCATTTTTTATTCATAATACCCGGATAGCTGCATATCTTTACATGTCTATATATTAATAAGTACAGTGTGAGTAAGGTGAATTTTTTAAATTTTACGGTTCTGTTGTGTTTTATTATATAAAATCCCATTATCAAGTAGAGGTTCGAATTCCAATGAACAGGCTAGCTGCATGGCCGTTTTTGTGGCTTTACCCAGGTATAACGTGCATATGAGCCAGTTTCCCTTAGAAAGTGCTCTCCTTAGGCAGATAGCTCTCTAGTGCTAAGAAGTGGTAATTTAACCTCTTATGTATTTAATTTTAAAATCTTAAATTATTTTATTCTAAAACTATATTTCATTCTTAAATATCTTTTATATGATACACTTGTATTTTAGAAAATCTGTAAATCTGAGTTTATTTTTACATTTTGTGTCATACTGATATTGAATTTTCTTTACAGTCTGTTTTGGAGCCTCACAATTTAAAACCAGCTTACCTCAAATTCCTCCATCGTTTAACACAAAATAAGTAAGTGGATGTTAATACAGTCAAAAGTCGTTAATCCGGACACCCATAATCCGGACCTCAAAGCTACAAACTTTCTGCGCATGTGTCAACGCATGCGCATAGGCTTTTACGCATGCGTGTTTAATGTATAACGGATAGTATAAGCTAAGCTAAAATTATCTAATTATCTATTTATGTTGCAGATTGCATTGTTCCTTAATCTTCGAATTGGATCTGGCTTATTATTTTTTGCAGACTGTTAGAGCAATTTTATAAAAGTAAGCTTGAACTTTCGATTGTGTCAAATAGAATTTTCGATATATATTTACTAATATGTAAAGGATCTACAAAGCGAAAGTATGTTTCAATGTCCATCAAACAAAAAGTGGAATTGCTGCAAAAAATGGATAAAGGCATATCTTTTGTTGCTCTAACTATTCCGAAATCTGTTTATCAATTTCACACTGCTCTGCAGGGGGGGGGACGTCACGGCGAGCAATGAACTGGAAGTTGATCTGTCAGCACTATCCTTATCTTCAGGGCAGATGTTTTTATTTTATTCAGCTTATAATTCCTTACTAAATGTAGTATTTCATCTCGATATATTCCGTCTTTGATATGATTTAAATCAAATTCCTTGTCATTATAAATATTGCGAGTACACATCAAATAGTTTTCTGGTTGCAATTTTCTAATTTCGACTATGCGTAATGTATGCTTTACGCATGCGCGCGTTGAAAGAAATGTTTAATAAAGTAAACAAATAAATATTAAGCTTTTTTTTTTTTGTAAATTTTGATACCCTTTAGATCATAATTGCTCTTTATTTCATAAATTACGGTTTCATATTTTTAATTTTATAATTTCTGCATGCCATCTTACCAGATTTAAACTGATGATCTATAATCCGGAAATCGATAATTCGGAATCGTCGAAGACCCGACGAGTCCGGATTAAAGACTTTTGACTGTATAATTTTATATTAAATGAATAACATGGTGTAAACAAATTTGTTTTTATCAGAGACTTTTAAATTAGTACCCTTGTAGTTTATGGAAGAAATCTGAAGACAATTTTTGCTTTTACAAAATGTGAAAGCATGGTTCAGTGTTTATGCGGTAACTGTATGAAAATCTATCTAATTGTGATATAACTTATGGGCTTAAGGTAGTTTATACAGGAAGTTTTATTGCCTGGAAAGAATTGTAGGGTAAAAATAATATGTAGCAATCTTAGCAGATAAGAACTCTGGTGTACTTTAAGCCTTTCCAGTCAACTAGTACTCAATAAGCTTTGACTTTTAACACTGGGCTAGGTAGGCATAGAAATTAGAGATACAGTGATGTGCTGCATAAATGATAATAAAGTAACAGACGATTTTCACTACTCTTTCTCCTACAGAATTAGGCCATGTAGCACTCTGGACTTAATGCATAATTTTCTCAGTCGTCAGTTCATGTCTTCTACTGTGGTTGTTTTTTTTTCACTTTTGGGAGTTGAAACTATATTATAGATATGGTATTTCTGTTTATATGGTCAGTGTTATTTATTACACCATTATTTCTTTTACTTTTAATCTAGGTTTTAATGAATGTTTGGTAAGATTTGATACGATTTTTTGAAAATGTGGAACAAATCAAAAGCTTTTCTCGTACAAATTAATGGTAATTGCTTCTCACTTTAGGTAATTTTATCTTACAAAAAAAGGTTTCACAAGAATGCATTACTTTTGTAAAGTAGAGGGAAATCTGCATTTTGTAGGGATCAGAGTTTTCAAAATTCAGCTTTTATTGTTGTTATCATCAAGCTATATAGCAAATTTTTTCCTTTTTGAAATTTACTATGGGGCTTAACTGGCACCCATGGTTAAAATGAAGCTAAAAGTGTGATGAAATACTCTAGGCCAGCGATTCTCAACCGGTGATACATGTACCACTGGTGGTACATAAGAGAAAAATAGGTGGTATGCAAAGAAACAAAGTATTTTTAACTATTAAATTCAAAAATCTCATGAAGAAAAAGAACAATTGATAGAAATTTTTTTGCAATTGAACTCTAACTGAAGATTTCAAAAATAGCAAACTTGTTAACTTTAGGCTGAACTGAAAAAAAAAAAAAAAAAAAAAAAAAAGAATTTAAAGGCACTTCAAATAAAGCTATTAAATTTTTATTCCCATTTTGCACAACCTATTTGTGTGAACAAGAATTTTCTTCTATGTTGAGGAAAAAATACAGAACAAAATTAAGAATGAATCTAATTTATGGTTAAAGCTAAATAAAATATGACCAGACATAAAGAAATCGTGAAATTTGGGCCTGTTTGATCTCTCTTAAACAGGCCCAAATTTCACAATGAATTTTAGAATTAAAATATTATAATTTAAATTTTAATAATTAGAATAATAACCAATTTTTAATCTAATCTCTTTTACGTGTGCATATTTAATACAAATATCCAACAAAATGTGCAAATGGCAAAATATATTTTTAAAATACACTGCTCGACATTGAAAATGCAACACCAAGAAGGAGTGGTCAGAAATTTATGCAAATTTTAGAGTACTCGCATGTCACTGAGTTATGGGAATGATGTGAAATATGCAGCTCTCCAACACACGTGAAGTAAGATATAAGGGAAGGAACTTGCAGAATGGACAATATTCGTGTCGTTGTTTTTGCCAGACGAATTATTGAAGAAAGTAGTTTTTTGTCGTGGAGGATAAGAGTAATAGGAGAGAATGTACAGGCTGCCGTCAACGAAGGCACTTCCAGCAGATAGATGATTTTATGAGGGGTATGGTGATCGGACTGAGAAGGGCGGGTTGGTCCTTACGTCAAATCACAGCTGATACCCACATGGATGCGAGCACTGTGCATCGGCTATAACGAACATGGTTGGAAACAAGGAAATGTGGGAAAGAAGGAGGGGTGCAGGTGCAGCCAGAGTTACGTCAGCACGCGTGGATCGACACATCTGATGACAAGCTGTGGCGGTACCACAAGTCACTTGTACTGCGATTTTGTAGCATATGCAAGATATCCTGGATGTTCCCATTTTGACCAGAACAATTTCCTGTCAATTGGTTGAACATGGCCTGCACTCACGGCGTCCATTAAGAAGACTGCCATTGACCCCACAGCATAGATGCCAATGTTTAGAATGGTGCCTGCCTGGAGTGATGTGAATGACAGAATGGCGAAACGTCATGTTCTCAGATGAGTTACGCTTCTGTTTATCCAGTGACAGTAGCCGCATATGTGTGTGGCATCGATGTGGAGACGGCTCTAATCCGGCAGTAACTGTGGAACTCCCCACCGTGCGACAAAGTGGCATAATGGTTTGGAACGCTATTGCCTGCGATTCCAGGTCACTTCTAGTTCATATTCAGGGCACTATGATGGCCCAACGATACTTGGATAATGTACTGCGGCTGATAGCAATCTCCTACCTTCAGGCACTGCCTAATGCAATTTTTCAGCAGGATAATGCCAGACCACACAGTGCTCACCTCTGCCAACATGCTCTGCAAGGTATACAGATGCTTTCCTGGCCACCGTACTCTCCTGACCTGGCACCAATCGAACACGTGTGGGATGTGATTGGACTCCATTCGCACTCTCCCTTGCCTCGTTCAGAAATGACTGTGGCAAATGGTTGAAATGGATGGGAGCCTCCTCAGCCCATCCGCCACTTTTATTGACTCTATGCCTAGACGTGTTTCTTCGATCATCACTGTCCATGCTGGTCCTACATCTTACTGAGCTGACGCCGTTCTCGCTCTGTATTCTGACTATGATTTTGAAATAAAGATCACTTATTGCTGCTTGCTGTCTCTGTCTTTTTTCCAAATTTCATCACTTTCTGACCACCCCTTCTTGGCATTGCATTTTCAATGTCGAGCATTGTATTTCTATTGAGAAATTGAGACATAATCATTTTAAAATGTAATGGTGGTACTAAAGTTTTTTTAATTTTTGTTTAGATGGTTCGTGTTAGTCAAAAGGTTGAGAACAGCTGCTCTAGGCTAACAGATTGGAACCATGCTTGAATATAAATAAAAGTAAAGCAGCTTTTGCAGGTGACCGGTCTCCTTCATCAACCGGAGCTGGAATGAATAGTTTGATCATGTTTGTCATCTTTTGTGGGTTTCTGCAGGGTTGCTTTACTCGAAATTGACATCTAGATGTATGGCAGATAGAAGGGAAAATCTCTGTTGTAGTATGGTTTGGCAACGATTTCAATTGCTTCTTTAATTTTAAGACTGTTTTTGTACTATTGCTTGGTGATGATTTTGGCCTTGTTCCAATCAGTTTTTGAGTGTAGATGCTCAAATGTGCTATTTTCACTGATGAACTGATTGACAGAGAGTTTGGAGATATCTTTTTGTTATGTTCGCAATTCATATTGAGAGTTTTTTGGATATTGAGCTAATATCTAGAGTCTGTATGTTTGTAGCTCATTGCAAATTGAGATAATATATTGCGGCAGCATAACACCAAGGAAACTATAGTCAGATTAGGCAAAAACTGAACATTTTGACACTTAAGACTTTGTTTGTCTATGATATTGTGTGCTTAAGCAAAACTATAAGAGTTAACAATAAAGACACTGGGAAATTATTAGAGTAAATTTCAACTAGGAGAAAATTTTGTAGTTTTTAGGGTGAATATAGTTACAATACTCCACCTGCTTCCTCCTGTGCTATTAAAAAATAATTTAAATCTAAATAAATAAATTTTTAAAATTTTGGAAAGGAAGGGAGTGATCTAGCAATGGTGAACGAGCATGGAGCAAAACAGGTTGAGAATCACTGTATTAGGGGACTATCAAAATAACTCAACAAGAAACCATTACTGTTTCTCAAGCAGCAAAGAGTGACTGTGGAAGAAATGTTTTCAGATGAAGAGGAAACAAACTGATCCTAATTCTTTGATCAATGAAGTTTGTGTAGAGTTGGATAAGATGCAAATAATAATAATATCAACCTAATAAAATAGTAGCTAACTATAGCATTAGCATTTTCAATGACAACACTGTGTCTCACCTTGGAAACATTTCAAAATGTAGGCACCAACAAATTGGAGAAATGACATATTAAAGAAATTTTGAATGAAACAGAAGCACAGTCTATAATAATAATAGACACAATAAGCATCTAAGATAATAATATAGTTGAGTGGTGCATTTAAAAAAAAAAAAAAAAAAAAAAAAAACTATGTCTAGTTACCTGATATTTTTGGAAAAGAACTTCAAAGAAAGAAAGATCATATCATATCCAAACAATAAATAACATCTTTCTCATAATTTTTCACTTAAGCCTTTCACTCTCTTTTGTATAGGAGCAGTTAATCAAATTTTTTGTCTATTTTATCTGTTTAATATAGTATTAATCTTTTTTGTTTTATATTTACCAATTTGCATTGGTTTTAGGTTATGAACTTGTATACAAAGTAATGTAGTAAACTTTAAATAAGCAATCATCTATGGTCCAGGAATGAATCAATTCATTTTACATTAATACTTATAAGGCAAATTATTTCAATTCACGAACAACTTTCAGGAATGAATAAAATTTATGAACTGAGGTATCACTGTATATTTTTTATGGTTATAATGAATATAGTTAAGGAATGTTCTTCAGCTCAAGCTGTTTTATTTTTATGCAAAAAAGGGGAAGAATAGCAAAATTTGATCTTTCTTAATCTTCTCAGCATTATGAGTTTGGACCAGAAATTTCAAAGTTCCCCAATATGTCATAATAAGTTGTATTTTCTAAATTCTAATTCTTAAATGACCTTCTAACTTTGTACGTTGACTCCATTCCTTGTAATCTTGAAATGAAATAGATAAGAGTCTAGCAGAAATTTTCATGTGAAACAAACAGGAAAGCCATTCTTCGATATGGAATGTTATGTCTATAACCCTTGGAGGGTTGAGATTTTTTATTCATATTTATGAATCTATATATCAAATGTAAAATTTTATCTCAAGTTTAATTCACTGCAAAGCATTTTGAAACTGCTTCGATTAACAACTAATACATGGGAATTTGCAAAATATACTTTAGTAATGTTACTAATACGCTTAGAGATTCTGAAGCAGTTTTCTTCTGGTACTATTTATTTACAAGGATAACATAACTATAAAAAAGTTCAGATTACTATCATTTACTCATATCTTAGTAACTAGTTGTTGACATTACCATCATTTCATATGCATCAATCTTTGAGTGTATTAACTAATATTTATCAATAATAATATGAAACACATGAAATATATCATCATAAAAAAATCATGCTTGTCGTGATGTTATTAGAGTTCTTTCTTCTGATTTAACTGCAAATGGTGTATAAAAAAAGTATTATTTAAAAACAAACATTTGTTTTAAAGATAATAAGCTTTTCATATATTTATTTATTTATTGAATTCCAAATTATGTTATTTTCTCTGTTTCAGGATTGGAGAAATTAATAGACATGTGTTGGATATATTTGGCACACATGCTTCAAGACTTTATTCAAATTTCTGGCCTGATCTAGATTTGAAATATACCAGTAGAGTGTTTCAGGAAAGTGTACTTTTATGGTTAATTCATTAGTACAGTCTTAAGGATGTGCAAAGAATTTTTTTCCTTTTGTTGTTGTTGTTGTTTACAAAACCAGATCACAATTGTGCCTTTATAAGCATCTAAGATAATATTTAAAAAATGCAGTTTTATACTTTGGCAACATTGTATGCTAATTTCAAATAGGTATTTTTATGACATCTGTTGACATAGAAATATATAGTATTATTTTGTATTGAGGTACTATATAGTCCATTTGAAAAATGATGTGATTGAGTATTGTAAATAGCTTTAAATGTTATTAATTTATTCATGCAAAAATGTAACTTATTCTGCCATTATTTATTTGAACAATTTTATATGATATATTGATTTGAAATATATCAGCAAGGTTGCCTGTTTTACATTCCACTAACATTGCACTTATAAATTTATAGAATAATTATTTGTTGTCAATACATTTTTCAAAACAGCTTTTTTTTTTTTTTTTTTTTTTTTTTTTTTTTTTTTTTTTTTTTGAGGGTTTTGAGTTCATATTTTTTTCTCCCTTGAGAGACAGAGCTTTAATTTTTTCTTGTCAAAAGTGATTTTTTAGACTTTTAAATAATACAAAAAGTTAATAATATTTGATATGTCTATTTTTTAAATTAATAATTCATTATTATATTCATGAATTAAATGATGAAAGTATAAGAATAAAAAATAAATATTTAAAATATATATAAATACACACTTTCTGTCATGAATAATGTAATTTTTAATTAAATTTAACTTAAATGCATATGCAGAGTTAAAATTAAGAATACCGTTGTATCAAGTGTTGTTTGTTGGTACTCATTAACCAGGATGCACTTAAAAACCAGGATGTACTTAAAAAGTTTTCATTTGCCATTTTTATGGCTTTTGAGAATACATTATTATTAGTTTGGTTATTTTTAATATCCGTTTTATTATACTGAGCTTCCATTTTAATATAATGTTTAATTTTACTGTTTAAAAAACAATTATTGGGTTTACTTTGTAAGTTAAATGATGCTATAATGATTTAAGCATTTTCTTTCAAGTGAAATAAATTAAAAAACATTTTGATTAAAAATGCAAAATTTGTTGTAAGGGGAAAAAAAAGTGTTTGGGGGGCTGCTTTGCCACCTGTGTATGAATTTGATGTATTGATTGATGTTTATTTTACAAGAAAATTAATTTAAAATCATAATATAATGTAAAATTAAGCATATATATATATTTAATATAAAGGTTAAGAATCTATAACTAAATGTTATATTGCACATATAAGACAAGTATGGGTTTTAGAAAAGTGATTTAAGAGGAAGGAGAAACATACCCCTTATGTTTAAGCCACTTTCATATTTTTATTGCTTAATAGAAAGATTTAGTCTTGAAACTTACAATATGCTGCATTAGGCATTTCATATTTAAATTTCACACTGAATTATTCCTATTTAAGAGACATAAGTGAGAAGAATTGTAACATACTAAGAGTTGGAATTACTTTCAAAAACAATATTTAAGCCATAATTTTAATTTATTTTATGTCTCATATTTCAAATCCAAAATGGAAGCTTTTCGATGAATGTTAAATATGATCTAAGTTGAATTGACATGTTTATTCAGGAGCTGAAAATGAATATAGTATATAAAATTGAATTACCCCCTTCCCAGTGTATTTTCTTTAAAATGCTTCAGTTTTATTTGTGACAACCAACATCAAGCTACAATTATTTCCACCTCCTAACTGGAAGTAAATATCATATTAATCAGTGAACATTTAGAAATTTTTATACAACTATTATTTAGTTTAATTTCAATATAATAATAAAATTCCAGATATTATGAGAACTGACAGAATGTGATGGAGATATGCAATGCGAAAAATATGGTTGCTAAAATAACAGCAGCCAACAGTCTGATGTGAGATTACCATAGTTTTAAACACAATGAAGCAAGATATATTTGTATATGAATTCTGTAAATGAGGTGAATTTAAGTGAGTTCCTTAATACTCAAACAGTACTGTTTAGTATTAGCATTTTAAAGTATTAAATGATTTATCTTTGAATGAAAGCTGCTTTTAATTTAGCATTTTATATGCTATATTAATATTTGAAACTAGCTTTCATGCAATCTCATGATGCTAACATAAGTAATAGAAGAAGAAAACAATATGAACAATTCCCCTTCCTTGAAATGGTTTTTTTCCCATTCATGTTTCTTTTTCCAGGAAGGTTCTAAAGCATTACTAGTTGTCTCCTAAAAAGTATTTTTGAATATTTTTTATATGTCGCTCTCTCATAATGAGTTATATCGTTACTGGATCTTAATATACACTATAGTTATGTTGTATTTAAGTTTGTGTTTAGCAGTATTATTAACAGTTTCTGTTTAACTGTTCTCCCATGTTATTACATTGTTTATTGTATGGATATGTTAAAAATAAGCAAAAATATGTATCTGCTGTTCCAAACACATACATATGTATGTGTACATATTAAGACTTATGTATAAAACAAATCTTTGGTATCAATACAATTTTCAGTTTTATTATATATAAATATAAAAAATCTTTGTAAACCACGAAGGAGCCTTTCCTTCCAGTAGTTGAAGTACTTTAAAGGAAAATAATTATCATAGTCATTTTTGTTTAATCTTAATGTCTTTAGTGACACTTAAAAATCTGCATTATTTATGTATACCTTTGGCTTTTATTTCTGTGTGAATACTTTAAGGAATTTGGGATACAAAGTTGTCATACTTATGGTATTAACAGTTATTTCATTACCTTCAAAATGTAAGACAGCTTCTCATATTATAAGTTTTTTGAGTTTTATAAAATGGTCTTATATACATAAATGTTATGTACTAATAAAGCAATTAAATGGTCTAAATTCCATATCATGAGGTAAAATAAAATACATATGCAATTTTTATGTAAAAAATAGAAAAATAAGTGATAAATTATATCTACTTATTTAAACATTGGATTCAACTTATAAAGATGAGCAGGATTATGCTATTATTAGGTTTTTTTTTTTTTTTTTTTTTTTTTTTTTTTTGTTTTTTTTTTTTTTTTATATATATATATATAAATATGGGCTATTATGGTTAGATTTCTGTTTGAAATGTGAAACAAATACTGAGATCAAATATACCACTGCATGTATGTATTGAAAAGTTAAGCATGTTCATCATTAAGGATAAAAGTAGCTTAAACACATGATGGCATTTAATTTCAATAGATTTTGTTTTTAGTGATTTCTTGATACCAAAGTATAAGCAAAAATATTTGCGGAAGTACTTAAAAATACTGTCAATTTCATTTTCAGAAGAAGAATTTTTTTAAAAATATTTTTGTTGTTCTTGTTAAGTTGTTATGGTACTTATGGATTCTGATATGAACATACACAGAATAAAATGCCTCATGTTTATGTTTTTAGTAAAAAATTATTTTATTTATTTTCCAGTTAGAGATATACTTTGGTGCTAAGAGCTTTCAATGCGATCTTAATTTTTTTCTCCTTCTCAGTTCCTCTATTACATATGCTAAAGATTCAGTGCATGTTATTTTTGAGCTTATCTTGGTGATAGCAATTTGACTGTGTCTTGTATAATAAGACAGTGTCAGTTTAACTATTGCCTATTTAAATGTTATATAAATAACTGTGTGTAAACAGGATTTTAAAATATGAATTGATAAGCTCAGCAGTTTTCAAATAAAGCATATAAATGAGCATTGAAAGCTTCTGTGCATTACAGTGCAATAAGTAATTTTTTTTTTTTTTTTTTTTTTTTTTGTGTTGTCTAATTTAATATTAGCATGTTTTTCAATATACAGTCAAAAGTCGTTAATCCGGACTCGTCGGGACTTCGGCGATTCCGGATTATCGATTTTTCCGGATTATAGATCATCAGTTTAAATCTCGTAAGATGGCATGCAGAAATTCTAAAATTAAAAATATGAAACCGTAATTTATGAAATAAAGAACAATTATGATCTAAAGGGTATCAAAATTTACAAAAAAAAAAAAAAAAAAAGCTTAATATTTATTTGTTTACTTTATTAAACATTTCTTTCAATGTAAGTTGTTTAAGTTGCTTCGTTTTATGTGATAATACTTTCTCTTTAATTCTATAAACAGACATAATTTCTTGTTCAGTTACAAAGTTCCGCTCTTCAAGTCCCGTTAATTGCTGTGTGCCGAGAATACCGACTAACTTGTCAATCGAAATTTTTTCGTTTTCACTAACCTCTCTGTCACATTCTTCATGTCTTTATCCATTTTTTGCAGCAATTCCACTTTTTGTTTGTTGGACATCGAAACATACTTTCGTTTTGTAGATCCTTTGGAAGTTCCAGCATCGGAAATTCTATTTGACATAATCGAAAGTTCAAGTTTACTTTTATAAAATTGCTCTTACAGTCTGCAAAAAAATAATAAGCGGGATCCAATTCGAAGATTAAGGAACAACGCAATCATTAACATTAACTGAAATAGATAATTAGATAATTTTAGTTTACACCGTCCGGTTATACATTAAACGCGCAGGCGAAAACGTATTCTGCATTTGCGCACACGCATATGCGCAGTAGTCAAGTCTTACGCGCTCGCGTAAAACGCCTGTGCGCATGTGCCACCGCGGCGCATGCGCAGAAAGTTTTTAGCTTTGAGGTCCGGATTATAGATCATTCCGGATTATGGGTGTCCGAATTAACGACTTTTGACTGTATATATTTTTTCTAGAATTACTGTTAGCTGCATATTAGTACTTTTCAAATAATGAGCTTTGTATTTACAATGACATATGTACATTAATGTAATGAGTCATTTGTATGAACCAATGCCCATGTGTAATTTCAATGTTTATAATGTTAATATCTGATCAACATCTGGGAAAGCAAACTTTTGTCTTTTCAAAATTTATTGGCATACAGCAAATCCCATACAGAATTGCATATGTCTTTTTGAATGCTGTATTACCTGTTCTTTATCTTAGTAAATTAAAAATCTTTTAAATAGTAATTGATCATTGGCAGTCAAAATTTTTCATAATGTAGCATTTCAAATATCTTAGTTTTTTACTTTTCATAAACAAAATGTTCAGGAAATATCATCTATAAAAATAAATCATTTTGTTTTACCCAATTTGACATTTAATGTTATTTAGAATTTGTATATCATATTCAAGAGCTAAAGGTTGTATTTAAACTGCTAATTTTAATTCAGAATCACTGAGTCATTTTTAATTTAAAAATAATTGAAGTATACTGAACAGCTTTGATGTAGCTTTGGAACAGAAAAAGAACATAAGGTGATTATATGAGAGACCAATAACTCAAAATATGCAGAATTGTGTTTTCAAGAACAGCAGACTGGATTTCACTAAATTAATGAAATACTGTACGAGTTTGGTTTTATGTTACAAAGCTCAAGTAATAAAAGATGATGGTGCTTGTACATAAGTTTTAAATACAGTAAATAATGTAAGGCTTCCAATAGGGTTTTTGTTGTTTCATTCTGGTATATTATATTCTGGTTATTTGTATGGAACTTAGTTAACTTATTAAATCTATTCACTTTCTACTTCTAATTTTAAAATGGAAATATGTAGGAGCTTATTTATTTTCTTTGTAAAAATAATGAAACTGATCTGAATGGGAAATTCAGTGACTTTATTTTTGGTATTGTGTCTTCTTTTATATGATATTAAATTATGCTGATGTATTTTATATTTTGTTAAGAAATTATTTACTTCTGATATTAAAATATATATTTTGAATGTGTATTATTTTTAGAATATTTAATAAAGTTACATGGTATTATTTTATATGCATTTTTTTCTGATTTGATTTTTTGAATGCATTGTGTTATGCTGTTTGGGTATTAATGTAGTTTATACAAAATATACTGGGAAATAAATAATTAACAAAAATTAGTGTGGAGGTTTACAATTGCTGATTGCTCAAATAACACTATAGAGATAAATGCTAGCTGAATTGTATGAAAAAGCATTCAGTTAAGAATAAATAAATAATATTTTTTTTTTTAATTATACCTATAAATGTCTTTATTATTCCTTTGTTAGATTTTTAAACTTGTAAGTTTTATATTAATTGGCACATGTTGTCGCACGTAGTAATGTATGTTGATAAAGGTTATAATCCAGCGAGGATAATAAGGGTACTGTTTGTCCACTTCTAGCAATATTCTATTTTAACATTTAATATTTTAATATTTATTTTCACTTAAAATACAAAACATACACATTCAGATTTCACATCTATATATTTATATGTTTGCATTCTGAATGGACACATATAAAAATATAAATTTGGTATTTCTCAAGTTAAATTTATTTCATCTATTCTCATTTCATTGTCAGTAAACTTCTTTCACTTTGTTTCAGTAGTTCATGTAAACAGTTCATATATTAATGCTAAAATAGACAATATTGCTAAAAGATATTTTTTCAGACACAATAATATGTAAAATGGAATAAAGTAATTTTATTAGCCAACTTTTAATGTACAAGTGGTATCAGAATCAACCAGCAGAAAATTCACAACTGTCATAGCAACTGTTTCAGAGCTAACTTATACATACATATATAACTTAAATCCTTACTTAAGGCCCTGAATAATATACATTGTGATGGATGCATTCATTACTGTATTATTAATAAATTATATTTTTATCAACACAACATATGCATTTTAGTTACACTATTGATTTTAATCAAGAGCTTTTTTTAATGCTTACATTTGCACTTGACAAGACAAATTTCCAAATATTTATTTGAGATTCAGAGGTAAATATTAAAAATCCACTGATATATTTACAGTGCATTAAAATGATAAATATGCTATTGCAGAACAGAAAATTAAAAATTTTTAATGTTTGTTGGCAACACTTTACTGAAATTTTTAAGGAAATCAGTATCACGAGAAAAACTGCTTCCTTGTCAGTATATATGTACTTTCTTCTTCTGTAAAAATAAATATTAGAATTGTAGAATATACATTATACAATAAATATGTCAAAACTATTACAATTATGCCAAAAATTCATTTTCTGCAATTAACATTATGTTAATTGCATTGAACACTTTAGTAGGAATGAGATAATGTTATCTCTCATAGATTACTGATCTAGTAACTAAAATACTTCATCTTTAAGATTAAACTATAGTTTACAGATATAACTTCCATGTCTTGTAGATGACGAATTGTTTATGAAAGCTCAAAAGTTGTAAACCTACATTACATTATATCACAAAATTCAGATGATTAAAAAGAAATATGAAATGCATATATATAAATAAAACCTAATGTACAGCACAATACAAAACAAATTAAAAATTTTTGGTTTAAATTTGGAATGGAAATTCATTACAAGAAGTTATAAAATTTAGCATAATACTATAGATTCACAAGTTTGTGTCACTACCAATTTTGTGTATAATTGCAGCACAATAATTATATATTAATATTTTTCATCGAAATAAATCGGCACGCACCTTTTCCAGCACTAATAAAATTCCGAGAGTAACAAAATGCATTCATTGCATTCCATAAATGCATCCACCGGAGATTCAGTATTAGACTGGAGTAACAGTCAATGTTTCTACATCGGAATGTGATGAAAACGTTCGTCGATGCCTTGTAGTGTTTAATTTTGGTGACAAAGGCAATAAATGAGGCCTTTCTGCAGCAGCTGGTGGACCTGGCGGTGTCTTTTTTGATGATGTTGATTTCAAAGATTCCTGGAAACACAAAATCCAATGAAACACCAATGTTACTAGTTTTATTTGCAACACATACATGAAAACTGTAGATATCTCAATAAAATAGCCATCACAAATAGAAATAAGGTTTTGAAAAAAATCTACCCTAAATTAATTATGTTTTTACAGGGTATATCAGGAAAAACATATTTATGAAATGTTATGGAGCAAGTAGAAGGGGTATAAATTTAAATGGAGACAATATAAAAATGTCAAGCCGTATCCTTTCAATTGCTATCATGTTGTAGACATTTCATAAAGCATAGTGATTTGATTATTGCAACTCAATGGCTCTTTTGTTAATGTTTCAATATTCCTTGTCCTCTCTACTCCCTGTCAATGATTTGCCACAGTTCGTCTTCTGAACGCGGCAATGACAAGGTCTGCAAATGGCATCCAATCACATCCCAAATGTGTTCAATTGGTGAGAGATCAGGAGAGAATGGTGGCCAGGAAAGCATCTGTACAATCTTCAAAGCATGTTGGCTAATACGAGCAGTGTGTGTATGGGCGTTATTCTGCTGCATTGGGCATTTCCTGAAGGTAGGGAAGTGACACTGGCCTCAGCACATCATTCACTTATCTTTGAGCCGTCATAGTGCCCTGAATATGAACTAGAGGTCAAGCCCGCGCCAACAATAGGTGAACACCACTGCCAAATCAGAAAGGCGCTGGGCAATCATGAAAACAAGCAGTCTGTCTCGCTGCCTGGTCTAAACAGGAAAATTCTTAGCTTATTGATACTCAAGACATCAAAAAGGAACCTATGAACTTTTAACACTTTTAAATAACTGTAAACTCCTAAGAACTCTGATTCCAATGTACTAATTGAACTTACGTACTTAATATATTTATGAACTCAAATTCCTGTGAACTATTCATAAACACTCATATCTCTGCAGCTATTACAGAACTTTCAAATTAGAATTAATTAATTTTTATATATTAGTCTTGCTAAGTAAGCAATAAAGGTGAAAGTCTTCATGGCGGCACAGCTGCTCACCCAGTGGTTTCCTGCCTCCTGTCTTATTTGAATGCACTTCCGGAGGTAGACTCGGGTAAAACCTGGGAAGCTACTTATTAGGATCTGTACCTAGGCTGTCTCTGCCACGATTGTTTAAAATCAGTCTCCACAGGACTGGAGTCATCGCCGGCGATGGCTGTTTCAGGTTCGGCAGGGATCATGTGGTACTGGTTTGTCCATTCCGTTGGTCGTGGTGGAGCTATACAGTCAGATATTGATGAGACAAAAATTCCCCGTTGGTGAAGTTGGCGATTTCAGCGAGCTTTTAAACTGCTTCAGATTTCCAGTGGGTGCCTGGAGTCTCAAAACTGCATATTCATATCCTTTCTTGGTTTCTTCTTGTGGGCGCCTAACGCCAACATCTGTATATCATGACGTAGTGTTAGCAGGCCAGATTGGGGGTCCGGTCTGTCTGACAGTATTTAAATGACTTCGTTCTCCTGTCCGGGGTTGGAGCCCCTGTTGATAGCAGATGTTTTTATCATTCCATTCAAGACGGGCACGTGGAATACGAGTTGCTGAGTATTCCTGTCGACTCAGCTTAGTCTTAGCTTGTCGGTTCGACTGATAGGTTAGCGGCTTCTTGGATCGCCTCTAGGGTTTGGGACGCTTCTGTGTTTAGGCAGCCTCGAGCTTGCCAGGTCTGAGTGTCCCTTCCTTCTAGCTCATTGTCTAATTTGACCAAAAGTTACAACTGGGCAAGGTGTTTGTCTCCTTCGGTCTTATTTGAACATGAAAATACGTGATACCGATGCACATGTAAGTGTAGTCTCATTCGACAAATTACTTAATCCTTATTTTGTGTTTACTGTTGCAATCGCAGTAATTTGTACAATATTGAACTTTTTTGTGATTGCTTGTTGTTATTCTACATAAAAAAGGTATGTGAAATTACATATTATTTTAAACTTAAATTAACTTTTTTAATCGGAAAAGCAATGATCTGAGCATAATTACTCGAAAACTATTTAACTCCCATGTTTGAACCATTGTCATATTGTTGGCCGCGTAAATTACTAACATCTAAACCATTTTCTTCTAAAGTCTGTAATAAGAATGCTGTTCGTCTTCTACCATTCGTATTTGTTGTAATAAAGACAATTTTCTTTATATTATCCCCTGATAAGCTAATTGTTTCATTTTGAATTTTATTTCCATGGTAATGAGGTACATTTTTTTTTTTTAAAGTTTGAATTTAATTAATGTATACAGACATGATAGGGTCAGATTTTGTGATCATTTCTATACACTTTAAAAATTATTATTTCTTTCGAATAATTTGTTACTGGAACCAAGGAAGGATAAGTTTTGTTTGGCTAAAAATTGAATGGCATAGATAATTCTTTCAATAACGTCGCGCCAATGCTTGAACTCTAACGATTGCGATTTAGCTCAGTTCAAGCATTGGAGTTTTAAAGTTTTTTAATAAACTTTAAAATTCCGAATCAACAGGTTCATTTTTTTTAATCGTTCTAAGAAATCAGACCAAAGATGCAGGTTCCGAAAATGCATATTATTTTTTTCATGAAATTTTAAGTGCTCATTTAAGTGGTTCCAGTCATTAAATTCAGAACTACTCAATTTTACATTGCTGAAACTGTTAAAAATTTTGCAACAAAAACAATAAACCGAATTTTTTTTCAGCAGAATTTAGAAACCAATCCCTTTTAACTCCTCCGTTGTTTAGCAAGATTCGACAAAATTACATCTAACAAAAATTACGTCCATTTTTGTCTTTTGGGAAACTGGAAACCAGGTTTTTATAATCCAGAACCATTTTCTATTAAGGACCATATTTCTTGAACTTGGCATTTCTATGAAGAATAACAATAGCAACAAGCAATCCCCCCCCAAAAAAATCAGAAAAAAGATAAATGGTGCACAAATTACTGCGATTGCAACAGTAGACACAAGGCTTAAGCAATTTGTTGAACACGTCTGTGGCGCAGGCCTCTAACCTTACATACGGATCAGCATTGCGTATTTTCGTTCACATATATTTACAACATCAGCTCAACTTATGTGAAAAACTGCAGAAAGCATGAACTGATAAAAATCAAACTGATATAAATTGCCGGTTGAAACTCTAAGCTATACCGTTGTCAACAACATAGTGGTGTGCAGAAAAGAATTTTGGATATATCTCTAGATATCAGCTCTAGAGCATCTTTTGGCCCCTGTTGTAATCACAGTTCGAACCTTGTCGTAAACTACACTGCGAACAATAATTTATTCAGTACAAACTTATTAGATATGAAAATTAATTTGTTTTTAATTTTAAGGTAATAAATAGTGTTAAGCAATGTATTTGGTATCCAATGCGTTTAGTATATTATTTCGCTTCACTTGCAGTGTTATTTTTTATAACATGTTATTTTTGTTGTTAACTAGTGCTTACTTGTCTTACCTACAGTCAGCCCAAGTCCACAAAATTCCTTGAGACAAGGAGCTCAAGATATGCCTGTCGTTCGCAACAGTCTTAAGCATCTTACAGGTGACTGTGATTTAGCTCAGTTTCGCTCTCAATTTTGATGGAGAGCACCCCGGGAAGGGGACGGGTTCGAGCATCTCTTAACCCCCTCTTCCCCTACCATCAGCCTCTCGACAGAACTTTCGGCTCGCTACATATTTAGAGTTCCCCATGCCGCACAGACACTATACATTTGCAAACATCCATTCCTTCTCCAGGATTCGAACCCAGGCCCTTCGGCACAGCAGTCAACAATGCTAACCGCTATACTGGTTGGGTGGCTTTTTATAACTTAATTATATGCGTAATTCTTCAATAAATATGTTTGAGTGTGAGTTTTAACAAAAGCACTAAATGTTTGCATATTTAGACAAATTAAAAGATAAAATGTAATTTTTTTTGTTTTTTCATATTATTATGTTAATAATGCTTCATTTTAAGTGTTAACCATAGCAATTTTCCTTTCATATCATCACTTCGTAAAGGTGCTCTCTAAACATTTGTACAACGGCACCATTAGGCTTGGCGCGGACCTATGCAGGGCCTGTTCTGGTAGACCTATTCCATTGAAACTTGGAATATATATATATATATGTTATATGGACCATGGGGAAAAGAAAACCATAAGAAAAATAATAGTCCAAATTTCGACAACCAGGTGAGAAGGAGATGGAGATGCATGAAAGAACAAAAAACCCAAAACTTTATGTAATCGCAGCAGTTGTTGAATGTACACTGCTAAAAAAAAAAAAAAAAAAAAAAAAAAGAAGAAAGAGAGGGACAGTGCGACATCTCCCGTTCTACTGGGCCGCTTACAAATCAAACTGGTTTTCAGTCTCGAAACCGCGACTTAGGATATGTATTATTTATATATAGCACTATTCTACATAGTATTTTGACACAAAATTGGACTTTTTCTGAAATGACATGCCAATTTTCTCCTATATTTCGATTCTACGACTCAAGTTATTCTTAAATATCAAATTTTGTAAAATTTGGTGCAAAATTTACGGAGGAATTCAAAAATTTATCTTGGCGCATTTTTTTAGTTTGGGCCCAGAATAATTTACTCGGCGAACTTCTTAATATGTGGCAACCTTTTTTCTTTCCTTTTACATAGGCGTGACAGGAAAAAAAGAAAATCGTTCCTTCTTTCAAATAATCTTCTTTATCTTATTTTTAATTATAATTTATTATTTTAAGCTTTTTTTTTCTTTTTCGAATTTATTTTAATTGTTTACGGTTGCATAGTTTCTTTAAATAACGTTTTAAAATTTTCTATTACTCATTCGAACTGCGTAGTTAAACAACGCGCATCGTTATTTATTTTTTCAAATATTTTCTTTATACTCTTTTTAGTCATAGTTACTATTTTAAGTAATTTTTAGACTTTTTTTTAATTGTTGTGTTGCATTGTCCTCTTCAGAAATATTTAAATTTTTATGTATCTTCGAACTGACTTTTAATATACAGGGTAATCCAAAA